TCCCAAGGGACTGGTTTGGTGACAATAGGGCCTGTTTGGGAAAAGGCTGTGGGGGAATCCAGCCCCTTCACCCTGTCCCACTGCCAAGCTCTGAGCTGTGGCACACACGTGTGCCCCAGCCCGGGGATGTGGCATGTCCCCCATCTCACCACTCAGCGTGTCCCTGTTGTGTGTTTCAGTGTGTCCAGCACAGTCTGTGCCCTGGGGTGCTCAGCAGCCCACATGTGAGTACACCCGGGGGCTCTGGGCAGCTCCTGCCACCAGCAGCTTTGCTTTCCCAAGCCTGGATCCCAGCTCAGGCTCCTCCAGCTGAGGGGCCATCCCCCTCTGGTGTGGGGGCTGCTGTGGTCCCCAGCCCCACAGCTGCTCCTGGGGCTGGCCCTGCTCTGTCTCTGCTGGGTCCTTGCCTTGGGGGCTCTGCTGAGGGTCTGTTGTGCAGCAGGCCTGGCTGGCTGTGGTCTCCCTGTCCTTGCTGTGTCTTGTCACTCTGTTGTGTCCCTATGTCAAAGTCCCCTTGGATCTTGGCTGCCCCACTTGCTCCCTGCTGCCCGGTGTCTTCATGCCTGACCTGGGAGCACTGTGGAGCAGCTGTGCTGGCTCCCTGTGCTGGCCTCTCCCCTCCAGGCCAGTGGATCTGGCTCCCAAGTGAGGCATAAACCTCTCCTGCCATGCCCCTGTCCCCACGGTGGGGCTCAGAGTCCCCTGCCCGAGGGTCTGGCTGTGGTCAGACCCCTCCTGGCCCTGCTCCGAGGCTGGTCCCCGCCAGGCTCAAGCATTGAGGCTCTGGCTCTCTCCTGGAAGAGTTGATGGTTTGAAGGGTCAAAGGGGCTGGGCATGGGGCAGAAGGGAAGGGTCAAACAGGGATGCTGCTGTCTCCTGCCCCAGGGAAGTGTTTCCTCTACTGCAACGGGCTCATGGACCATCTGTACGTCTGCCAGAACGGCAACAGCTGCACTGCCTGGTACAAGACCCCCACCCGCTTCACCGGCACGCTGGTAGGGGCTGTGGGCACGGGCAGGGGGGCAGGAGACCCAGAGAGAGGGCTGGGGGGTTTTGCTGGGTGGCACTTGCCCCCTCTCCCTCCTCTAACCTCTCTCCCCCGTGCTCCTCCCTCTCCCCAGGATGCCTTTGTGAAGATCACACGCTATGAGGGCATCAGGTCTCTGTGGAGCGGTTTGCCCCCCACCCTGTGAGTTTGGACCCTGCTTGGGGGTGGGGGGTCAGTGCTAATGCCTGCCTGGGCACATGGGCATCCACCACAAGCCTCCTGCCTGCCCCTCACACCCCTCCTCCTTGCCAGGGTGATGGCTGTGCCAGCCACTGTCATTTATTTCACCACCTACGACCAGCTCCGGGACTACCTGCACGCCCGGACAGGGAGTGGGGGGCACCACATCCCCTTGTTGGCTGGGGCCCTTGCCAGGCGTGAGTACCCCTCCTCTCCAGGGAACCCCCCTGTGTCCACCTTGTGTCCTCCTGGGAGAGCACAGTGGATCTCTTTGGCTGTTGGTGCCCTCATTTGGTGCCTGGCTCTCCTGGCTCCGGGGTGGCTGATGTCCCGTGTCCTCCCTGTTGCAGTGGGTGCTGTCACAGTCATCAGCCCCTTGGAGCTGATCCGCACCAAGATGCAGTCCCAGCAGCTCAGCTACCGGGAGCTGGGGGTCTGCATCCAGTCAGCAGTGGCTCAGGATGGCTGGATGTCCCTCTGGAGGGGCTGGGGACCCACCGTGCTGCGCGATGTCCCCTTCTCAGGTATGGCTGCGGGTGGGGGGGGTGAGCATGGGCCAGAGCAGCAGCCCTGTCCATGGTGGGGTTGGTGTGTCTGGGGTGCCTGATTGTAGCACTGGTGTCTCTCCTCTCCTCCCAGCTCTCTACTGGTTTAACTACGAGCTGGTGAGGGACTGGATCTGCAGGCAGGCCCGGCTGGACGAGGCCACTGTCATGATCAGCTTTGCCTCTGGGGCCATCTCTGGCACGGTGAGTGGTTCTTCAGGTCATGCTCTGGTGGCCAAGGTTGTGGGGTTTCATTTGTGTTGATGGCTGGACTCAGTGATTTTAGAGATCCTTTCCAACCATGACAATCCTGTTGTTTGGGACCCTGGGGTCTGCACCGCTCCATGGACCTCCTGTCCGTCTGCCAGAACGGCAACAGCTGCACTGCCTGGTACAAGACCCCCACCCGCTTCACCGGCACGCTGGTAGGGGCTGTGGGCACGGGCAGGGGGGCAGGAGACCCAGAGAGAGGGCTGGGGGGTTTTGCTGGGTGGCACTTGCCCCCTCTCCCTCCTCTAACCTCTCTCCCCCGTGCTCCTCCCTCTCCCCAGGATGCCTTTGTGAAGATCACACGCTATGAGGGCATCAGGTCTCTGTGGAGCGGTTTGCCCCCCACCCTGTGAGTTTGGACCCTGCTTGGGGGTGGGGGGTCAGTGCTAATGCCTGCCTGGGCACATGGGCATCCACCACAAGCCTCCTGCCTGCCCCTCACACCCCTCCTCCTTGCCAGGGTGATGGCTGTGCCAGCCACTGTCATTTATTTCACCACCTACGACCAGCTCCGGGACTACCTGCACGCCCGGACAGGGAGTGGGGGGCACCACATCCCCTTGTTGGCTGGGGCCCTTGCCAGGCGTGAGTACCCCTCCTCTCCAGGGAACCCCCCTGTGTCCACCTTGTGTCCTCCTGGGAGAGCACAGTGGATCTCTTTGGCTGTTGGTGCCCTCATTTGGTGCCTGGCTCTCCTGGCTCCGGGGTGGCTGATGTCCCGTGTCCTCCCTGTTGCAGTGGGTGCTGTCACAGTCATCAGCCCCTTGGAGCTGATCCGCACCAAGATGCAGTCCCAGCAGCTCAGCTACCGGGAGCTGGGGGTCTGCATCCAGTCAGCAGTGGCTCAGGATGGCTGGATGTCCCTCTGGAGGGGCTGGGGACCCACCGTGCTGCGCGATGTCCCCTTCTCAGGTATGGCTGCGGGTGGGGGGGGTGAGCATGGGCCAGAGCAGCAGCCCTGTCCATGGTGGGGTTGGTGTGTCTGGGGTGCCTGATTGTAGCACTGGTGTCTCTCCTCTCCTCCCAGCTCTCTACTGGTTTAACTACGAGCTGGTGAGGGACTGGATCTGCAGGCAGGCCCGGCTGGACGAGGCCACTGTCATGATCAGCTTTGCCTCTGGGGCCATCTCTGGCACGGTGAGTGGTTCTTCAGGTCATGCTCTGGTGGCCAAGGTTGTGGGGTTTCATTTGTGTTGATGGCTGGACTCAGTGATTTTAGAGATCCTTTCCAACCATGACAATCCTGTTGTTTGGGACCCTGGGGTCTGCACCGCTCAGGGGGCTCGCTGAGCCGTGAGCAGGGGGCTTGGCCCCATGGGGAGCAAGTGGTGGGGCAGGGATGGCACCAGGAGGTGGCAGTGGGTGGGGACAGCGAGGTCCCATCTCACCTGGTCCCACAGGTGGCTGCAGTGCTGACTCTGCCCTTCGACGTGGTGAAGACCCAGCGGCAGGTCCAGCTGGGACACAATGAGGTGCACCCAGGTGAGAGACCAGACTCTGGGCAGATACCTGGAGGGCAGGGGGGAGACTGAGACTCCCCCGTGGTAGGTGGGCATCCCCAGACCCTCACCCACTCCCCTCTCCCTGCAGTCACAGCTTCCAAGCCTTCCTCCACGTGGCTGCTCCTGCGGCGCATCCGGGCGGAATCCGGCACCCGAGGGCTGTTTGCAGGTAAGGCTGAGCCCCACCCCCGGGGGGCTGGGGTCTCCTGGTGTCACCGAGGGGCTAACGGGATTGTCCTTGCAGGCTTCCTGCCCCGTGTCATTAAGGTGGCACCTGCCTGTGCCATCATGATCAGCACCTACGAGTTTGGCAAGAGCTTTTTCCAGAAGCTGAACCAGGAGCGGCGGCTGCGCGGGTTGTGAGGCCGGGCTGGGGCAGGGCTGGACGTGGCTGGTGGCCCAGGGAACAGTGCCAACCCTCTTGGCCAAAGCCCAAGTGCCTTTGTGCTGTGCTCTGCCTCCCCCTGCTTCCCCAGCCACACGGTGGGGGGACATGGGTGCCTGCTGCTGTGACACGGGGGGGGGATGTCCCCCACGATCCTCTCTTGAGGCTGGATGGATGCTGCTGAATTTATGGACACTCTGGTGAGGAAGGGGTGACCTGGGAACCTCGGCAGGAGTTGGAGCTCTGGAGAGGACCAAACCCTCGTGGGCTTCTCTGTATGCCTGCCTGGGCCCTCCCACCCTGCTCCACCCAGGGCTCTGCCCCTCTTTGCCACCAGTCACGCACAGCATCCCCTTGCCAGGGCATGGGGACACGTCAGGACCCTCTCCCAGCCTCTGGACCTCTCCTGCTCAGGGTGGCCCTGTCCCCTGGGCTTGGACCCTGCCTGGGGACAGACCTCACTGCTGCTCTGGGGGGGTGACATTCTGGCACCAAACCTCTCACTGTGAGGTCCTGCCCCAGTGTCATGCCCAGGGCAGGTGCTGCCCCAGCTTGCCCAGGACTTCAGGGAGAGGGTTTCTTTTATTTTCTTAAATAAAAAGCAATATTGTCTCTTGGGGCAGGGATTCCTTTCCCTGCTCCCACATGTTAGGGCTGTGGAAGGTGTCCCTGCTGGGTGGGCATGGTGCTGTCAGCCACCAGGTCCTTGCTGGGCTTTTATAGAATCCCAGACTGCTTTGGGTTGGAAGGGACTATAAAGATCATCCAGTTCCAACGCCCTGACATGGGGAGTCCTTGGGGTAAGGAGACTCCAGGTCCCCCCTGCTACCCCCAGCAGTGGATGGGGCAGCCCCTTAGGTGACCTGTTTTGGCCCACAGGTGATGTTCCTGCCCTGGTGGTCTGCTGAGGGGGGCTGGAGGAGGCTCACTGGACCCCTCCCCCCCCCAGCATCCATGCTTGGGGTGGGATCTGGGGGCACAAGAGGGTCTTTCCCCCCTTTTCCCAGGTCGGGGGAGCTCACGAAGGCCAGCTCAGCTTGCTGTGTTTATTGATTCCTTTTGCTCCAACGAGGCAGATGGGGCTGAATTAAAAACGAAAAATCACTCAAAACAAACCGGGGGGAGGATGGGAAAGGGGAGGGAGGCAGGGGGTAAAGGGGTCCCTGTCCCTGTCGTGGGGATGTTGCTGCAAGGG